CTAAAACTAGAACAATCTACATCCGTAACTATTTGCGAATCTAATCTAGGTCTACCTCTACCCCTCCTAACTCCCGTTTCTGCCTTTAATATGTTTCTGACTAGATCTTTATGACTGAGGTGTCCTACCAACCTAATTCGCCTATTTCTTATTGATTTCTTTAAATTCCTCTGTTCTCTTACTCTTTCTAATACCTCTTCAATTTTAACCTTCTCTATCTACGGTATCCTCATCATTCGCCTACAACACCACATTTCGAACGCTTCTAAACTTTTTTTTTTCATCGCGCCTACTGTCCATGCTTCGCACCCGTACAACTCCGCGATCCAAACATGTATATTAGTATATTAATAATGCCTGAGCCGATTTAGATGGAACTTTGAACACATGAAGAGTTATTTGATTATTTCTTAATTATCCGGTATTATTTTTATTGATTTTAAGAAACGAAATAGCATCTAATGTTATGTATACATAAATAATTTGTTTCAATTAAACTTTGGAGCAATAAAACGGATATGCAAATTTGTGGATAATATCTATTAATTTTCAACGGTTTTTGCTTCTAAAGTCAATTTAAAAGGTGATGTTAAAAATAACTCATTTTATTTTAATCATATAAAACTTCTTAAGACTTTTATTTAGGCAATTAATTAGCATAATTAAAAATTAATTTTGCTTCAAGTTCATGTTGAAGGATTTGTTAATGCCATTAAATACATCTTTTGTGGAAATGCGCAAAATTGCGTATGATAGATAGGTTTCCATTGCAAATATAATTTTTGGAATTTAAACTTCTGACCTTGTACGCAAGAATTTGAAACACACCACTAACGCTATTGTTGCTAATAAAAAATTCTAACGTTATGTTAATTAAAATGAAAAATGTAAATATTATGTACACCTCGTCATTAAAATAATTTTTTTATAGCTATTAAGGAATTAAAGGTAATTGAAAACGAAAAATTTTAATTATACAGGGTGTCAACTAAACATATGGTATAAGTGAAGGAATTTTTCTTTGAGTTACTTTAAGAATATTTTGTCCTTTAATGATTTTTGAAAAGCCATTTTGTTTTGAAGATGCAGGGCGATAAATAATTTTCCACGATAATAAAATAATAATATTATCTAAACTTTCTAGGGTGTACTTTTCGTGAAACGTCATTTATTCAATAATAAAAAGCCGAAGAAGAAATATGTATGTACAAAAAGTGATGCTTTCGTCATGTAGATACTGGAAGGAATGCACCACAAAATATAATTACCTTTAAAAAATTATAATACACTAGGTTTTATTCTAAATAGGTGTCAAAATTTATTGATAACGACAAGAAACTAATTTTTCTATCCCTCGAAAACAATATTTTTTTTTCTGGATAAAATGTACCCTATGTCCTTTTCTGTACCCCTGACAATGTGTGTACAAAAATTCATGGTGATCGGTTTAGTCGTCAAGGCGTGAAATCGTAACAAATACACCCACTTTCTCATTTATGATATTAATTAGGATAGGGACGTTATTCACTAAATTATATATGATTGCAGTTCTGCTTTAACCAATTAAACGGGTCAATTTATTCAAAGTTTATGTGCAGAAATTTATGAACAATTTATTCGAAGTTAATTAAACTATTCATAAAAGATGGGTTTTATAAACATTGTAACCCTGAATGGGTATTGTGCAACTGTAAGAGTATTCACATTAGGTAAATTACCACAGAAGTTTTTCGATTTAATGAAATCAGCGGGTGATTGTTTTGTTGTGTATTATATAACAACCACAAAGTAGTTCATACTTTAGATGGTGCTGCTGCAGCTACGAGTTAAGTTTTTTGTAACTGTCTTACTATTTTGCAATATGATCACAAACAAAATTTTTTTAAAAAATTCATTATTGATAATTTACTATTGAGAACTATACAAAAAAATTTCGTCACGATCTGATCGATGATGATATTTAGTTATATGTAGTACCTCAACTTCCTTAATCTGCAAGAATTGTTGAAAATAACTACCACTAGCTACGATGCGTGCATCCAATCTTCTTATCATTGACTACCGAACTCAAAAACAGCTTGGCGGTTTTCTTTTTCTTGAATTACACAATTACTGTCAGGAGATTTTGAACATTTTTTTGTAAAATAAAATGGAAGCGGTACTAACAGATCAGTACTGTATGAAAATAAATAAAAGTAAAACTAAAATACTAGTATGCAAGAAAAAATAGGGAAAGAGCGAATATAAAGATAGGAGACGAAAAATTAAATGAAGTGGCTGATTTTAGATATCTAGGAAGTCAGATAAGTCAGGACGGAAGGAGTAGTAGGGATAGAAAGCAGAGGATAGCGCAGGGTCGTGTCACCTTTAATAAAAACAAGACACTTCTATGCTCGCAAACGGTTAATTTAGAAATTTAGGTTTTTAAAGGTGTATGTTTGGAGCACGGCGTTATACGGGTGCGAAACATGGACAGTGGGCGCGGCGGAAAAGAAAAGGTTAGAGGCGTTCGAAATGTGGTGTTATAGACGAATGATGAGGATAACGTGGGTAGAAAAGGTTATAAATGAAGAGGTATTGGAAAGAATAGGAGAACAGAGGACTCTATGGAAATTAATAAGAAATAGGCGAGGTAGCTTGGTAGGACACTTTTTCAGGTGTGAAGAGATAGTCAGAGAGACATATTAGAGGCAGAAATAGGAGTTAGAAGGGGTAGAGGAAGACCTAGGTTAGATTACTGTTCGCAAATAGTTAAGGATGTGGGTTGTTCTAGTTTTGGGGAAATGCGAAGATTAGCTCAGGATAAAAAAGAGTGGAGGTGCGTGTCCAACCAGTCTTAAGACTGACGACCTTATGATGATGATGATAGTGATGCTGGAATCAGTTTATTTTCGATTGTTTAAATAATTTTGAAAATATCAAAATTGGTTTTATTAGAAACATTAATCGTCATGTATCTTCGAGACAAAACGGTTATCCGGAAAATCATCAAAGACAAAATATACTTATTGTACTTAGGAAATAACCCTTTGAAGTTCTGCCATACGTGTAATAAAGATCCTGTATACTATGATATAAGCACTACTTTTGTGGTAAAGAATTGGTACTTAATTTTCCTTAGTTATGTTTGGGCATGTTTAAAACCATAAACACTGAAGGGCATCTAAAGAAGTGGTGTGAACGTGAACTACTTACGATTTATGACACCACAAAAAATAGATCAATAGTCCTTTTAAAGAAAAAAGAAGCGACGTTAATCTCTTTTTCTTAAGTTACGGTTTTTTGCATATCATACATAAGCAACCGTGAAAAAGAAATTATTTTTAAGTTTTTAATTTTTTATATGTTCTTTTTTAATTTCATAAATATGGCGGAGGATCTGGGTGCTATATAAAAAAATACATATAGTTATGGTAGCATCTCGCCATCCACTTTCATCTGCTCCTAACTGAAGTTTTTCTTGTGTTAGGCAACACGTTTACTAACGTATAGTTGGGACGTTCAAAGTTGGCATAGTCCGCTATAAAACTGTCGCATTTACCTACTTTCTTCCTTCAGTTTACTAACTAAATTGAGAGCGGTTGCTGACAGAACGCCCCCTTTTACTCACGACAGACGTTATAGGGAATATCGTAAACATAGAAAAGAGATGTCAGCTAGGAGTTGCAGCGGATTCTAATAAAGAAAAAGGAATAACGTTACACGGATTGATGTGTAACAGAAAGAGATACAGACAAGTAGAATTTGAGCATGTTGCCAGCATCGGACTTTAAAGAATGTTCAACATTCTCAGGAATTTTGGAAAGCAAAGACGCTTGTTTAAAGATATAATTCCAATCAGGTAGTTATAAAGCCCATCCTGATTTTTAGTGTGCCTAAGCAACCTCTAACAGCTGCACCGCTTACTATTATTCGGTTATCTCTTTTCACTTTGTCTGTACTAGTCATGAAGCTAGGGCGTGCTCAAAACGCAGCAAATAACTGCAGATAATTTATTGAGGACTACGCCAATTTTGATCGCCTCAACTATATCTAGACATGTAAACCAAATTAATATTTATTAAAACAGTCAAGGAAATTCACGTCTGGTAGTTTCAATGAAGAGCTTATTTTGTTCTTAAAATTTATTCTGTTTTTAAGTAATAATAATAAAATAATAGAGACAACATAATGATAATCGCCCGAGATAAAAATGTTCAGTCTCTCAGAGTCTCTGAAAGCGAGACTCGAGTTTCCGTCTCTCATCTAGTCTCTCTGGTGTCGCTGAGAGAGAGCCTGTCGAGAGACTGACAAAAAAACTGTTTAGCGTTTCTGAACGAGAGACTCGAGTCGCTCATAGAGAGATCTTCATTTCGTATTCAGTCTCTGAACGAGAGACTCGAATCTCTCAATAAGTGATGTCTCAATAAACATGATTAAAATTTTCTAAGTTCAACATAGTTCACAAATCCCAGTCTTTCTACGAGAGACTCGAGTCTCTCAATTTTTCAGTTTTATTCATTCAGTCTCTCTGTGAGAGACTCAAATCTCTGAATTAACAATTTTATCGTTCGAGTCTCTCATACAGAGATTGTGAGAGATCCATAAAAACACCCAGGCAATAACTGAAAGACTGTGAATGACTGTGAGAGACGTTCTCAGAGACGCTGAAAGACTCTGAGAGAATGGAGAGGGACTGAAAATTTTTGTCTAGGGCGAGAATTAGGAGAAAATCTAAATACGAAGTTGTGCTCTGTAAAATTCACAAAGGCGGTAAAATCGTAAACCAGTAATAGAACAATACACGAATGCTAATTATTAAATTAGGAGGATAAAAATTATCTGGAATACTTCAAACCTTATTTAAGTGAAAATATATATAATTATTTATATTAAACCAGCTATTGTATTGTACTCTGACACTCTCCACAAAGAGACGGAATTCGATTTAAGAAACATTGGGTTTTTTAAAAAAGGAATTGTAACTAACTAATTGTTATATAGTTTAATTGGGCACCTACCTTTTTATCTTTTGTAGCAACGATGTTTGCACTGACAACGTCCAGAGCTCAAGGTAACCAAGACTGATTTTGAATCTGAAAACAAATATGTAATTAGGTGCCTGGGTATTGTAAATCATTTCCAAAGTTAATTTAAAGATGAATTGCATGATTTACTACTGAAATATTTGGTTAGAATTTAGATAGTTTGTATAGTGTGGAAGAATTTTTTTTTTTTTTTATTTACTTTTCGGCTATTCGCAATAATTTTGATTTGTATTTCATAATTTTACGAATATTGGAATCACTATTATTTCATTTTAGTTCACTGTTTATACTTATTTAAAAGATGAAAAAAAATCTCAAATAACTAAAAGTTTAATGTAATAACAGCTGTCATAAGAAATACACAAAATTAATGATCTTAAAAATATATACATTCATTCATTGTACTATTAAGTACCTTCCTACAAAAAATTCCTTCCAAATTATTATCTCCATGAATTTCAAGTTTTACAAACAATAATGTGTTTTATAAAGTAACTCAATTTCAATAACAAAACCATCACGTATAAGTATTAAATAGCAAGACTGTGCATTTATAATTACTTATTCATACGATAATTCCAAGAATGTGCCTAACAGGAAAATATTTTTACCGAAAAATTTTAACTATTGTTCTGTAGGTCACTTACTAACCGATGAATTCAATATTAATATACAGGGCGTCCTAAGAAATTGTGTTAGAATGAACGAAATCTCGTATCAATATATCAATTGATTTTTGATGTTTCCGGATTTGCTAATTTTTTCATTAATATTGTCATGTAACATTTTATATTCTTTTAATTAATTACTCTTTTTTGAATTTAGTGTTAAATACGGATTGATTTTCTAACTCTGTAGCTAATTCAGTGCTCTAAAATGTTACAAAGTTGAAAATATTCGATATTGATAACATTGAAGTAACAATATAAAAGGTATTGAAATAGGAAAATTGTGATTATCATGTCTATATTTGCACATTGAATTCCACAGTAATACTTCAATTTAGACGCAGCCTTCAAAATCGTCAAACAACATACACAATATTATTTGAAATTTCCGGAAAATTACAAATTTATCAAAAACTGTTGGTAATAGTAACAACCCTACATCAATAGAAAAAAGTTAAAAATAGTTATTCTTGTTTGAAGTTTGAACTTTAATGTTATTGTTTCAAATCAGCCTTTTAAGGGAGCAGAGAAAAATAATATTCAAAAATTATATTATTTGGAATAACCCGATTAACAGTAATAAAAGACCCTTGGTCCTTTGGATTGTTCATTGATTTAGAATGAAGGTTGATAAACGAATAAATAGTTTACCTGAATATATTGCTCATATACCTATAAAAATTCTAAAATAATTGGTGCTAAGCGTGGCGAAGGCGAGCGAAGCTCTGTTCTTCCCCGATTCAGGATTTTCGGTTCATGTTCATGCACAGTCAGGAGCAGGTTTGTAAAATATAATTTTTAAAATCCGACATACCTCGGAGGAATAATCATTAGAAATCATTTTATTTATCTGATCTCTCAAGAACGGACAATCACAAATTTTTGAGTTTGGCACTAAAATGACCATCTTGAGATTGTCTACAGTTCAAAAAAATAAAATCACAATTCGGACACCATCGAGGAATAATCGGCAAAAATGTTTGATATTTGGAAGAAGCGAGTGATCGATAGGACAATTGGTTACGTGTTAACGTACTATTGCTTTGCCCCACTTCATGTTGCAGCATACTGCGAAGATAACCTAGTTTAAATTTGCATTTTCTACCTTGTATTGTCTATGCCATTTGTTATCTAGTTAACATCTCTTACGCGTTTTTGTTCATAATTATGCATTAGCCTAGAAAAACAAAGAACTATCCTGTGGCTGTGAGTACATTAATTTGGTGGACGCATGTCCACCCCGAGTCCAAATTCTACAATCCGACAATTACAAGAATATATAATATATTTAAATATAATAAGTGTTTATTCATATTTTTATAAAAATCCACGCACTAAATTACCTTGAACAGAATTAACATTAAATATACTTGAATTTTAAAAATATGATTGAACATTGACACCTACAATTCCACGGATAACACCATAACATAACAGCACCTATGACCTCATTTCATTTCCATATTTTTGAATTTTTGGTAGAATTTGTAGATCTAAAAGCTCGTAACCTATTAAAAGAAAAAATACAAACGATACCGTGTTTCGTAGAAAACCTCATGACTGTCTGACAATCAAAATTTATGAAAATATTTAAAATAAAATGCGCAATATTTTTTACTGCTGTATAAAAAAAGGTCACATTGAAATATACAAAAGTAATAATCGTATGCAGTAATTTCATGATGTATATTTAAAAATATATCATAATTTAATTTTGATATTTATTAATCCTACTTAATTGCCGAACTGACAGAATAATTAGCGTCGCTTAGTGACTTTTTATTTATAATTATTGTAAGTAATTCATAATGTTGTCACTTTTTATAAGTGTTAAACTAAATTTATTGAACAAACGACGTTGACGTTTGTGGAAAAAGTTGTTCCAGTGTTAATAGCAGTTTAAGTTCTTGGTTAGCAATTTATCGAAACTAACAGACGTGGATCACGTTTTCGATCTGATTTGTTTTCATCAGCACGCCGTAGGTAGTTTTGTAATGCTAACAACCGGAATTAATCATAGCCATCAATAGATTAAATAAGAATAAATAGGCCGCGAGCTGAAGACATGTGGGGATTCTCCGACGTTATACCGCATGCCTTTTTGGGAGAAGATAATTTACTCCTTGATAAGAAAATTGAAAAAGGTTTTTGACCGATGCTCGCTTTCCGGCATACCTAGTGAAAATTAAAATTTTATGAATTGGTGAAGCCTTTTTTTGCCAGTAGGTGAACTGCTGCTGTATCCACATCCAGCATCTGAAATGGAAGGATTTCTGAAGAAGTTCGCTACTGGTGCTAGCGAAACGTTAGGAAGCAGCTCCAATACACGATGACTCAAATTAGGACATCAATTTATAAAAATTTTATTTTTACATTTTCAGAAAAGATTGTGTTTTTCTGTGCATACATTTGTAATGAAAAATAATTAATGGTGACATAAGCATGCAATTAAACGATAGAATGGTACCTATGTGTAAAAAAAATAATATAAAATTCCATGGTTTTCAAGTTGCACGTCAACGAAAAGGAAGAAAGTTGTAGTGTCGCAAAAATTCTAATAGAATCAGGATGGCATAGACCTTTGCTACCGATTTTGTTCGGCAACCTATGTTTCTCATAAGAACTAAATTATAAATTGCAAATTAACATAGGATTCATTCTGCAACGAAGTGTCGCAAAGATTCTAATAGAATCAAGAGACTTTTGCAACCGATTTCGTCAGACAACGTATGTTTCTCATAAGAACTAAATTATAAATTGCAAATTAACATAGGATTCATTCTGCTCCCGATGAGTCAACGAAGTGGCGTAAAGATTCTAACGGAATCAAGAGACTTTTGCAACCGATTTCGTCTGGCAACCTATGTTTCTCATAACAACTAAATTGTACACTGCAAATTGACATAAGATTCATGCAGCTTCCGATGAGTCAAGGAAGTGCTGCAAAAATTTTAACAGAATCAGGATAACAGAGACTTGCAACCGATTATGTCCGACAACCTGTGATTCTCATAAGAACTAAATTATAAATTGCAAATTGACATAGGATTCATTCTGCTTCTGATAAGTCAACCATGTGGCGCAATTATTCTAACAGAATTGAGAGACTTTTGCAACCGATTTCGTCTGGTAACTTATGTTTCTCATAACAACTAAATTATACACTGCAAATTGACATAAGATTCATGCAGCTTCCGATGAGTCAACGAAGTGCTGCGAAAATTCTAACAGAATCAGGATGACAGAGACTTTTGCAACCGATTTTGTCCGACAACCTAAGTTTCTCATAAGAACTAAATTATAAATTGCAAATTGACATAGGATTCCTTCTGCTTCCAGATGAGTCAACGAAGTGCTGCGAAAATTCTAACAGAATCAGGATGACAGAGACTTTTGCAACCGATTTTGTCCGACAACCTAAGTTTCTCATAAGAACTAAATTATAAATTGCAAATTGACATAGGATTCCTTCTGCTTCCAATGAGTCAACGAAGTGGCGCAAAGATTCTAGCAGAATCAAGAGACTTTTGCAACCGATTTTGTCCGACAACCTAAGTTTCTCATAAGAACTAAATTATAAATTGCAAATTGACATAGGATTCCTTCTGCTTCCAATGAGTCAACGAAGTGGCGCAAAGATTCTAGCAGAATCAAGAGACTTTTGCAACCGATTTTGTCCGACAACCTAAGTTTCTCATAAGAACTAAATTATAAATTGCAAATTAACATAGGATTCATTCTGCTTCCAATGAGTCAACCAAGTGACGCAAAGATTCTAAAAGAATCAAGAGAATTTTGCAACTGATTTCGAAACTGCTGCAAAAATTCTGATAGAATCAGGATTTTAGAGACTTTTGCAATCGATTTCACCTGGCAACCTATTTTCTAAGGTATAATTAGGCATATGATTCATGCAGATCTCTATAAACCAAGCAATAGTATTAAACTCGCCTTGAAAATTACCTTTCTTTCATTTTTATAAAAGATCTCATACGAACGTTTATTTGCACCAAAGTTTGAGCCTGATCTCGATGAGACAAGCAATTTTGCGGTTAGATCATCCTGGACTATTAGGTACATAATATGTTTCCATCAAACAAGTCAAGCTCTTCAACAATTACTTTTCAAAATAAATTTGTGGGCATCGAAAGGAAACAACTTCAGACTTGTTTCTTCGTAGACAACTTAATTATTGAAGAGTATGAAGACAAATCAAGTTCATTAGGACCTTACCATCAGGTTTTGTTCAGATTATGACCTTGTTTCAAGCCTCGGCCATTCGTTATTAAGAACATGGTCAATGTTTTTGCACACTTTAATTACTCCACAATAATGATCGGTACGTTGAAATAAACTTTCCTTGGTTTATGAAGTGTTAATGATGAATTGTATTTAAGAAGATTTGATTGACTTTTATTTTCGTTTTGTTTTTATTTCTTTTTCTTATTATTTTTAGGTACAGCAATACATATGATGCCTTTTGTTAAACATCTTCAGAAATATTTTAAAAATAACAGAGTTTAAATACTAATGTGAAAATTCGTTTTTAATTTTCAACTCCACTACAAACTACCTCAAGTTAAGGAGGGAAAAATTTGTTGCTGTTGTCGCACCCTTGCTGGGAATCGTACCTTGGACCTTTGGCTTGCAAATTTTTACCTCGTTAACTTGAGGTAGTTTATAGTGGGATTGAAAATTAAAAATGAATTTTCACATTATTATTTTATATTAGTCCCTATTAAACTATTAAAGGTCAAAGTGTTTCATATTAACAGATTTTAATTACCTGAAATAAATTTCAAAAATATACATTTTCAAACAAATATAATAAAAGAAATCGATTTTTAGAAATAACATTAACTATAGCATTTTTCTACAATTAATTTAAATTTTATGATTCTGAGCTTCACGTCATCGCTGCACTACGTCAGTAGGTACGCTACGTGACATTTTGTGAATAAGCGTATTTCACGTGTAGGTATTTTGGAACTGGCCAATGTGAAATATTTATGTGTATTACACAGAATAGTATTATCGGCATGCTTATTTAATATTTCATAAACAAACAGGACAATATTAATATTTTAAATTATTATTTTGTTGCTGGAAATAATTTAAATAAAAAATCTAAAATAGACATGTCCTGTGCATAATAAATGGTTCTTAATACGTAAATTGTAATTACTGATGCAAGAATTAAAAAGATTAAAGTTTACTACATGGCAATGGAACTGCGACATTTAAATGATGAACAGCTATACATAATCGCTAATACTTTTTGAATGGCGGATCGAAAATTAATGACGACTTTAATTTGTTTAAAATAAATTATAGTCAAACTTGTCTAATTCGAACCGTCTAAATGCAATCAGTTATGACTTAAGAAAAATTCCTGCTTTACCGTTAAACCTTTTGTGCTCTACATGTATTATGTCAAATAACGAAGGCAGACAATATAAGGAGGTACTTCCTTTGTGTTGTTTTTTCCTACTATAACGTTAAGTTATAGCAAATCGGTTTTTTTGGTTTGTAATATATCAGTGAAAATTTGTGGTTAATTTTTCCGAAGAAAATTAATAGAAATTCGAGTAAAAACGTTTGGAATAAATGTAAAACAATATTAATAACATCATCATCATAAGGTCGTCATTCTGAAAACTGGTTGGACACGCATCTGCATTCTGTCCTATTCTGAGATAATCTTTCGCATTTCCCTAAAACTACAATTCACATCCTTAACTATTTGCGAGCAGTGTAATCTAATCTAGATCTACCTCTACCCCTCGTAACTTCCGTTTCTGCCTCTAATATGTCTCTGACTAGACCTTCATGCCTGAGAGGGTGTCCTACCAACCTATCTCGTCTATTTCTTATTGATTTCCATAGAGTCCTTTGTTCCCCTATTCTTTCTAATACCTCTTCATTTTTAATTTCCTTTATCCACGGTATCCTCATCATTCGCCTGTAACACCACATTTCGAACGCTTGTAAGCTTTTCTTTTCCGTCGCGCCCATCGTCCATGTTTGGCACCCGTACAGCGTCGCGCTCAAAACATCGGGTCAACGAACTTAATGACAAGGGAACAAAAAAATTCCAAAAACGATTTTGAGGTAGGTACCTATAAAAGTTCGAATTGCAGAAGTTCGCGACTGTATGCTAAAATATCATATTCGGAGAAAACAAACTTTAGCGTAGGATGAATATTACACACTTGCATGCATATGCAAAATTTTGAATGTTATGTGTCAACGTGTGATCCAAAGGTAAGTTGTTTAAACAACTCAACGTATTTGAACATCAATAGAAGGCGTTATCCTTCTAATAACTGCAACGACAGTTCTCACATCTTATGTCCATTATTCTCTAGGTGATCCGTCGATTGGATTGCGTCATAGATCACTCAGGGAGGAAGACTTCGTTATCATAGTTATCAATCTCATTAAATGATTTCTCAACAATCGGCACTATATCTGAACAATAACATAAGTATGGGGAGTACATTTTCGATCTTCAAAATAATGCGAAAAAGTGATACTCATCATTGATGGGAGCTCCTTGGACGTTTGGGGCCTCGAAGCACTGCAGCGCATAGGCATATGTTAGCTACGCGCTTGAACTGAATTATGCTTATGTAGTTAATTAATTCAATAAAATTAAAGACCCTCTGAACCCAAAGCGCTGGTCATTATCGTGTATTAGGAACCCAAGACCAAAAATGTCATTTTTGACGTAATTTCCTAACCCATTATTAGTCTAACAACTACTTTAGTACGTTACGATTTTTTAATATTCTAATATAAGAAAACAACTGAACTTTTGGTCTTTTTCAGATTTAGGACAACGCAATTAAGAGAGTAGTCATCTTTCGACAAATTTTTTGCCAGTGAATTTGAATCTGGTCTGATGATTACTCCATCACTTCAACAAGTGATATATCTTCACCTCAATATCTATCTGAATAATGTTAATTTAGCTGTTTTGGGCAATTCTGGAGCTAGATCTGAGTACGTCGTTGAAAAATACTCTGACCTCTGTTTTTGTATTCGTTTTAACTTGCTATTAATAGCAGCTCTCTTGTTTTCGAGAACACTCTTTATTTCAAGAGCTCTACTAAAGCGGATCGAAAAGAAGAAACAGAAAAGAATACACATTTTCAATGTATATTTCAGTGGCGAACTCAAATCTCGTCCCAGAATTGTCACAGGATATTGGAATTTTGAAATACTCTAAACTGGACATCAAGCAAGCCACAACAACATCCTTCAGGTAAAGTTGTATTATCCTTTTACTCAAGTTAGCAGTGCTCCAAAGAAGATGGAAAATTGCATTTTTGGGTTCTTAGGTTAGGGTATCTCAAAATCTTGACACGTTAAACTAATTCTGAGACCAGCTTCAAGTGGTAGAGTAAAATTGACACTTCAACTGAAATTCTGAGGAATTTTAAATAAGATTAGCTCAGTTTTAGTGCGATTGAATACTCCATAATTCTTATTCCTTAATACAGAATTGCGTTTACTCATTTGAAAGAACTTTAGAATTCGACATTCTCGAATTTAGGGCACGGCATCGTCGAGGCATCTCGTTCGATCGTTGACTTTCGGATTTCCCTACATCCCCAGTTCCTATTTCAGTATCGACGGGAACGTAAGCGGCAACGAGACTACGAAGGGGGTGTGATAGCCAGCCAGACATTCGCGTTCGCCACCCTTCGCGTTTTCATCGGGATACAACGACCTTATTATACAATATTGCCAACAAGAGCGATCCAGCCGCAGCTATCCAGCGAGCGAGCGAGCGGAGCGCTTGGTTCAGCGATCGAAGTTTGTTCCTGTGGCGCGCACATGGACGCGGACGCGGGCGCTCTCGACGCCGGCGACGCGACGCGACGCTTGCAAACTCTCGTAGCGTGGAAGTAGATATTGAGTTGCGCTAGTCGAATGGGTACAAACGTTCCGCGCGCTCTAATCAAAGTTGCCTTCTTTTTGGTCTAGGTCACGTGACGTCGTCGCGAGCACTCGCGTGCTAGCTCTTCCAGTAGGTACGATCTAGTCGTGTATGTACGTATGTATGTATTAGGCGGCGTATGTACTACAAGTATAACACACACACACCTACAAAAATATACATTCGTACATACATACATACATACGTGTAAACGGCAGTAAGCGTAGCCAAACTTCACCGTCAGTTCGGAAATGTTGGCGTCGTCGTTTGGGTGTACCTATATGCTGTGTCGGTAATGCGTATGCATTTGAGTGACTGTTGTTGTAGTAGCAATAAATATTAAAAAACGGAGCGAACAGGAAGGCGGTCGTGTTGTTGTGCCGTTGGTTGTTGGGCCCGTTCGTTGTTTCCATTGTATTTTTCTGTCACAATTGCTCGGTTATCCGCTGACTCGTCGCTCGCTGCATCTCATCTATCTGTTTTACCAGTTTTGTAATCGTTTTACCGCTCGCTCCCACTGCTGCCTGTGACCTCCTGCTGCTGGTGCTCGTTCTTACTCTACCTTCCGTCAATTGCACGTCGAAACCGTGGTCTTCCTGTTCGTAAGTACTTGCCTTGGCCAAACTCACTTCCACCACTTGCTTATTTATACACAGTGTGTGTGTATACTTGTACGTGGAATATACGATATTTGTTCGGAATACGTAATGCGTGTTAATTTATTGTTACTCATAGGTATCGTCGTCATACTTGCTAATTATGATATAATGTGCTGTTCTATTTTATGTACATTTTACTTTTTGGGCGGAGTTTACCGAAAATCGAAATGCAGTTGATATATATATATAAGATCGCTCCAATTACACTTCCGCGTTTCCCCAACATCCGTCCGTTTAAAAAAAAGAAAAAATAATTCTTATGTAGGTGCCTACGTTAGATAATAGTTAGCACCCACATGTGTATTGTAAGCTCTTCAATAAAAATACCGATTCATAATGCTATTTGATATTTAATTAAACACTTATAATGCAATATGAAATTGTTTATCTTGCAAAATAATAAAACGAACTAACACGAAGTCACCAACAACCTTGATCTTGAAACTGTTGTTTTATGATCGATGTGGTTTTATTTAGGCAGAATATCCACTTATCGTGTTTACCTATATCACGGATGAAAATTTTATTTGGGAAATAACCGACACTTTCAATAACGCACCATCTGGGTGTCTATACACATACTAATAATGAATTCTTTGCAAAATGTACTAATGTGATGCGATATTCGTGATTGACCTGAAGGCCTTTATTATTAAAAGCGATAAAATTGCATCATTCTCTGCAGTTAACACAAAATTATCACTGCTGTGTGAACAATTATAATAAAAGAAGAAATGGGAAAACAAACCTGCCATTTATATTTGTTGTGTTGTAACAAACGGGCATTATTAGGGCGAAGTCAATACAGCAATTACACGGGTACATGTTTGAAATGTCACGATTGATAACTTTCCTCTTTGAACAGTATAAAAATTTAATAAGGGAAAACTCTTGGTAGTTATTTAACGCCTTACACGATCTTAAATTGTAAATAAATTTTGTAAAATTTTTTTTTTAATACTAATTTACGATAAGGATTTATTTCTCCATTTTAACATAGATTCAAACTTATATATTAGAGAGTATTTTTTTGCAATTAGCGTTTACTAATAGATAGGTACAATAGAAATTGGTAATTATCTAAAAAAAAGTCATCCACCCCCTACCTTCTTGCGGTTGTGGGGGTGTGCGGGTAGCAGAACTAGCCGTTAGTCATTTTGTTTTTTGTAATGTTATAAGACAAAGCATTTACGTCAAAACAAATGGTAATTATCTACAAATGTCATCTATTAGTGTTCAAGTCGCGCCCGGCATTTTAATTTTTTCTTTTTTTGACTGAGATGCTTAGGATAATAAGTTTACTGTGACGAAGACAACACTCACGAAGTGAGAAGCATTCCCTCTTGGGGTAAGAAATCGCACTTCTTATTAGGAAAGGATTTTACCCTTTTACCCTTTTATGATTCTCACCCCCGCCTTCGGCTCGCATTACAATTCCTTGGTGCGTATCTACTATATACTACATATGGGTGGAAATAACTCTAATAAGTTTCAGATTATCCGTAAAATTGATAAGCTACTATAAGGGACATACTGCCTTCCCGACTAGAATTTATAGGGAGCACGCCCCATGTAGTGTGTGGGCCTCTTATGGCAAATGAGGGGCATGTCAATATAGGGATTTCCTTGCAGATTCCTCATGAAAATACCACCAAAAAAGTGGTGATACTAAAATGAAGATTGCCTTATGGGCTTTTCATATGGGTCTTAAGGGGCAAACCTATCACATGTATAAACATACAATTAAATCTACCTTATGGGGGGTCGATGAGACAAATCCGCTTGAGAATACTCTCGGTAAAATAAAATAACTTACTATAACAATTCCCTTGCCCAATTATGTCGTCGTTTCAATGAAATCTTTTACATTTGCAACGAATTAACAAGTGTACTTCCTAATATTGTTATTATAAGACAACTCAAACCAGACGCATCAAGTCGAACAACAGTAAAACAATTGCAATTTTTATTATTATTATTGACTACAAAAAAGCCCAATCTACAATCCACAATCTTACTTAAGAGCAAACAAATTTTACAAATAAGTGATATATGTTGGGCCCGAAAACGCTCAGTGGCCGGAAAAAAACGGCCACATCGCGTTCTGGCTGCCTTCGAACGCACAGAACGCGTTTTGTCAATTGTTGAACGCTCACAACGTTCTTAATGTTCGACTTGATTATTTGCCGCTTTCTACCTGCGTACAATGAGATTTATATTGTAATTATAAAACAAATGAATTTCAATCCATTTTTCAGTTTTTAGGAAACAATTCAATTATTGACAACACAACTATAATTGGATACCAAAGATGGGTTCGGTTTTTCTATGAAGGTAGAAAGCGGCAAATAATACAAGTCGAACATTAAGAACGCGTTGTGAGCGTTCAACAATTGACAAAACGCGTTCCGGCTGTTTAATAGTTGCTAGAACGCGTTGCGAGCGTTTAAAAACAGCCAAAACGCGTTCTGTGCGTTCGAAGGCAGCCAGAACGCGATGTAGCCGTTTTCTTCCGGCCACTGAGCGTTTTCGGTCTTCGGGTCTAACTATATATATTATAT